AGACAATGCTGGATACCAAGAACTGGGGCAATTATGTCTACCTTCTCTTTATGATAAAGTAAATTAGAGAGCAGTGAGAGTTTTTGTATACAATTGTATTCAGGAGATTATTGGAACAAATTTTATAAAATGTTTTACATTTATTCAAGGTTCCTTTTGTAGATATAGAAGCTCTTCCATGACAAGAAAAAATGTGAAAAAGGTGTATGACTCTACGAAAGACATTAGCTTTTAAACATTGTGTCTACCTAATGGTATCTTGTTCTTGAAAATGATAATAAAAAAATAGGTATTTTTATTTATATTCGTAATAAAAAAATATACAAAGGAATGTGGTTAGTAGGAAATGTTTGTTTTCATTAGTTTATCTGAAATGTATAATATAAAGCATTACGGATTACTGTAAGGCACCAAAATAATGTAATGTTTAGAACTAGATAGTATAAATCACATTGTTTAACTAAAATTTGTCGTGGGGTAGGGGTGGGCAGAAATTCATGAGGAAAGAATAGCATATTGGGAAAAGTGCCACTATATTTTTTTAAAACGATATTATAAAATATGACTTTCTCCATTTCTTCTGAAGACTATTGCCATTAATCAGTCCTAAAACGACACATGCACTGATTTCTTAAATAATGGCTGTTCCATCAGTTAGGCATACAATGATATATACGTCTATAATACAATATTTAAAATATCTGCTTTTACTTTGAATGTTTCTTTATACAATGTTAATGTAAACAACATATCTTACGTTGGCTATTCATTTTTTCTGCAACAGAGGGGATATTAATTCCCGTACTAACACAAAAAAAAACAAATTTATTGTTCAAATGAAAACATATTCATGGTTCTACATTGATTCTGTTGACATTCATTTGACATTAAGTATAAGACAACATCTTTTCTCAACCATCTTTAAAATTTAATGTATCAGAAAATTGATAAACCCAAAATAGCTTTCCTGAGCTATTTGAATGTGTGGATATTACTTTTGCATTATTGTTATGCATGTTTCGATATAGATTGTGTTTGAGTTGCATTTTTCATTTCATTTGAGCGTTTTGCAGCACATTTTGTAAATTGTTAACATTTTCAGTGTCTTACTTAGTTGGTGTAGACTAATTTCAAACAAGCGTGCTACAAAGCATCCGTTGAATGCTTTAGGGAGAGGGCTAAAATAGGCTGTGCCTGCTGCCCAATCCCATTCACTTATGTGAATAAAATTTTGTATGAATAAAAAAAAATCCGTTGAAAATGGTACTCTTTTTTTTTATTTATTTATTATTTTTTTTTTTAGATTAAGATTCTTGCCTTTTTTTTTACAAGAAAGTAGTCAGGAATTGGGAAAGAAAATATTGAATTCTTTCAAAAAAGAAATTCTGAAGAAAAAAATGTGTCAGAAAAATGTAAACTTATTTCAAAGCTTCATTAAAACTAAACAATATTTTGGGGTTTTTTTATCTTGTGTCCTTGGGAAAGAGGAGTTTGGGTTTCACAGGTGATCAAAGTTTCAAGAAATACAAATATTTTTATAGAAACATATGGAGATAAGAGACAGTATTCAAGATCAGAAGTCCATGAAACAATAATAAAAAAATAGGAGCAGAACAAACAAGGACCTCCTAAAGATCAGAGGTGGGGCCATGGAGGAGTGAGTAAATCATGACCTTCGTTGCTAGGGATACAATGGGTGATCAAGATTTTAAATAAGAATATATTTGAAAAAAATAGAAAACTATCTAAATTTGAAAAAAAGCAATGGTTAGTCATATAAACGGATTTACCGATATATCAAAGCTGGACCAAGCATTATCATGCGATATGTACTTGTGAACGACAGTATGCGAATTGAATAAAAATGAATGGACAATCACAAAAACACTGCGTGAAAGTGGATACGAGCAAGTAAATGTGATTTACCCACCAAAAACATTCAGAAAATTACAAAATTTAAATAAAACAACACAATAATCTTTGAACATGCGGCGACACTATGCACAGTGAGGGTGAGGTACATGATATCGAACTAGCATCATAAATTATATATATTATTTTTTGGTCAGGGACAATATATACAGACGGATACCAATATGTGCAGTGAAAATTGGAACATATTGTCGCCAACGTTATGTACATAACGGCAAAATGTAAAGTCAAACAGCTTTTTCTTGAACAAATATAATTACCATTTTTGTCACAAAGATGTTTAGAAATTCGATTCAGTTAAATTTTAATACACTTGAAAGAGTGTATTTATTTCAAATTAAGATATTTAAAAAAAAAAAGAAATCGTGACAACTTCAGCATATATTTTTGTATTGTCTTTGAAAAAAACCTTGAGACGTATTATGTGCAAAATCTGTCCTATCTTGAAATTAACAACCACTTGATAATTTATTTCTATTTACTTATATTCATTTATCAAGAGGACAAAGCATGCAAAGGAGAAAAATCATAAGTTCCTCGACGGAAGTTTACTCAAGGATTTGAAGCAACTTTTAATTTTATAGATAGGGATTATATAATGAAAAAAAGATGGGTTAAAGAAATGATTCAGTGGAATGAAGGACTTTATAATGAAAACAATTTCATACAGAGGAAAATAACAATAAGGAAGTGTTTCGAAACCTCCAAAGTGTAGCTGCATTACATAACATATTTTTCAAACATAAGATTAATAAAAAAAAACATCATAAATTTAAGAATAGGTCAGTGTGTGTTGGCAATCCTTAACCATGCAAACAACAAATACTATAATATTTTCCGTAGCATTCTTTCCCGATTATCATTGTTTGTAGTTATTTTTACATATTTTTATTCCATCTCAGGAAAAGCTGATGATCATTTTCATAATATGAATAAAAAAAGCATCCGTTGAAAATGGTACTCGTTTTTTTTTTTTTTTTTTTTTAATTTATTTAGATAAAGATTCTTGCCTTTTTTTTTTTTTACAAAGAAAGTAGTCAGGAATTGGTAAGGAAAATAGTGAATTCTTTCAAAAAAGAAATTCTGAAGAAAAAAATGTGTCAGAAAAATGTAAACTTATTTCAAAGCTTCATTAAATCTAAATAATATTTTGGTTTTTGTTTTCTATCTTGTGTCCTTGGGAAAGAGGAGTTTGGGTTTCACAGGTGATCAAAGTTTTAAGAAATACAAATATTTTTATAGAAACATATGGAGATAAGAGACAGTATTCAAGATCAGAAGTCCATGAAACAATAATAAAAAAATAGGAGCAGAACAAACAAGGACCTCCTAAAGATCGGAGGTGGGGCCATGGAGGAGTGAGTAAATCATGACCTTCGTTGCTAGGGATACAATGGGTGATCAAGATTTTAAATAAGAATATATTTGAAAAAAATAGAAAACTATCTAAATTTGAAAAAAGCAATGGTTAGTCATATAAACGGATTTACCGATATATCAAAGCTGGACCAAGCATTATCATGCGATATGTACTTGTGAACGACAGTATGCGAATTGAATAAAAATGAATGGACAATCACAAAAACACTGCGTGAAAGTGGATACGAGACAAGTAAATGTGATTTACCCACCAAAAACATTCAGAAAATTACAAAATTTAAATAAAACAACACAATAATCTTTGAACATGCGGCGACACTATGCACAGTGAGGGTGAGGTACATGATATCGAACTAGCATCATAAATTATATATATTATTTTTTGGTCAGGGACAATATATACAGATGGATACCAATATGTTCAGTGAAAATTGGAACATATTGTCGCCAACGTTATGTACATAACGGCAAAATGTAAAGTCAAACAGCTTTTTCTTGAACAAATATAATTACCATTTTTGTCACAAAGATGTTTAGAAATTCGATTCAGTTAAATTTTAATACACTTGAAAGAGTGTATTTATTTCAAATTAAGATATTTAGGAAAAAAAAAAGAAATCGTGACAACTTCAGCATATATTTTTGTATTGTCTTTGAAAAAGGCCTTGAGACGTATTATGTGCAAAATCTGTCCTATCTTGAAATTAACAACCACTTGATAATTTATTTCTATTTACTTATATTCATCTATCAAGAGGACAAAGCATGCAAAGGAGAAAAATCATAAGTTCCTCGACGGAAGTTTACTCAAGGATTTGAAGCAACTTTTAATTTTATAGATAGGGATTATATAATGAAAAAAAAGATGGGTTAAAGAAATGATTCAGTGGAATGAAGGACTTTATAATGAAAACAATTTCATACAGAGGAAAATAAAAATAAGGAAGTGTTTCGAAACCTCCAAAGTGTAGCTGCATTACATAACATATTTTTCAAACATAAGATTAATAAAAAAAAAAAAACATCATAAGTTTAAGAATAGGTAAGTGTGTGTTGGCAATCCTTAACCATGCAAACAACAAATACTATAATATTTTCCGTAGCATTCTTTCCCGATTATCATTGTTTGTAGTTATTTTTACATATTTTTATTCCATCTCAGGAAAAGCTGATGATCATTTTCATAATATGAGGAGTCAAATTTAAAGGCTTAAAACGGTATAGTTTTGCTTCTGTGAGATTGTAAAAAGATAGATATAAGGATATTTTTGAAGAAGTTGTGGCATTTTTAATATAACTGAGAATTGTTTTTTTTTTAATTTCGCTCCCTATTACAAATGATGCCTAATTTTCAAAGTATGCTTCATGATGGGAGGGATAATGGATTTTGTAACACTTCCGATATTCATTTTCTTTTAAACATAATACCCCTGAATTTTTTCACACTTTGAACATGTTAAAAAAAATTAAATGAATAAATTAAAGTTTTTTTTTCGATGTTGAAATGTAACAATTTCATTTGTACGTAGCGGGTAGAGAACTGCGCTGGTAAGTCGATTATGAACATTAATTATCCCTAAAATATATTGGTAATATCGGTGCACGGCTTGGTACTTGACCCTGTTGTCACATTTAGAAAAGGTTACATTATAAAAAACATTTTAACTATACTTCCTGCATTGATATTATTCTATATCTAACGTCATGGACAGCAAAGTGGTATGGTTTCGTTCTCTCGTTGAATTAATCCTGATCAGGAATTATTATGCGACTGCATATGGTAAGATCATTTCCTTTTCATATTTTTTTGCTTTTTATGAAAAATGTTCTATTTATGTTGATTGACCGATACCAAAATAGGTTACAGTAACTCTTAAGTAAAAGAACAAGTATGGCTATTTTTTTAAACAAGTCAAATAAATGATAAAGAATAAAGATACATACAATCATAAAGTAGACAAGGGACAACAATTTCATGCTATGAGTCCGTATGATCGGTGCACATCCCTGACTCGAAAAAAATAACATATTCTTCAAAAGAAGAGCTGAGTTTGACTAAAGGCAAACTTAAAAATTGTATTATCAAAAATACTTAACAAAAAAAAAAAACAAACAAACAAACGAACAAACAAACAAACAAACAGACAAAGAAACAAACGAACAAACAAACAAACAAAAACAGAACAAAATAAAACAAAAAAACGTATTATTTACTGTCACTATATGTTTCTATTACAAATCATTATTGTACAATAGAAATAGAAAACATTGTTATGCAAATAAATTCAACAATAAATTGAGTAAACAATAAAGGACTATCTAAAATATATGCAAACTGATTTTGACTAAAAGAGGATGGCAAGATAATATCGGTATACAATCTTAATACAATCTGTACGTTGACTCAGCGATCTCATTTTGCCCACATATGTCACAATATCGGGGATATTTAAGGAATCACTGTCTAGTTTGTATAGTATGCCAGAGTATCAACAACTGTGGGAAACATGGGATAATTTGCATAACGGGCGAAGCCAGTTATGCATCAATTATCCCATGTTTCCCACTATCGTTGATGTCCCTGGCATACTATACTAACTAGACAGTGATTCGTTATATTTCCATTTCATTCAAAAGTAAGATTGTAGATTTAGGACATATGTTTAAATTACACAAGGACTCCATTGCAAATTTCAATAGTTCTCGCCCACTGACGTCAAATACTAAGATACTCGAGATACCTAAAAAATGGGCATAACATTTAAATAACAAAGATGGGCTCTGACATTTCACATGGACTATACCAATAAATTCATTAAGCTTTCAAAACCTTGACTACTGAGATAGTTATATTTAAAAAATAATCTTGGTTATAAATGAGATTTGTTGACTTTAAGGACAAATGATCAAAGAAAAGAGGACCCTAAACATGGTACAGTAAGTAAAATATACAGGTTGTACTGCTCAGTTTTCAAATTTTTATTCAAAATTTCACAGAAATTGAATTTGAGGTGAAGAAAAAGTTGTATAGAAGAAAAAATGGTAGTTGAAACAAGAGGCCCATGGGCCACATCGCTCACCTGGGTACATTGGCTAGGAAATAAAATACAAATCACTTCAGTATTTTAGTTTACATACGGGAGGTCTGGAATTTCAAACCTCTTATTCCAACAAGTATGACTTTGTACTACCTGAGAAAGCTTCCATATCAATATGAATAAACATGGCTTTCCTGTTCTTTGGAATAAAAATTCCTTGATATTTCTAGACAAAACTTTGATTCCCAATTATATACCACCGAACCCAACCCCTACTTCCCGTTCATGACTTGAACAAACTTGAATCAACACTACGTGAGGATGCTTTCATAAAGATGTCACCAATCATAGCTTTGTGGTTCGTAAGAAGATCAGAAGAGTTTAAATGAATCCGATATATTCATTCCTATGAAAAATTTTAAACGTCCATTGTGGCCCCACCCTGCCCCCAGAGGTCATAGTTTGAATAAACATGAATCTACACTACCTGAGGATGTTTTCACCTAAGTTTCATCTTCCTGGCAAAGCTGAGTTGTTCTTGAACAGAAGATGTTCAAAGATTTTTTCCTATATATTCCTATGCAAAATTTGATCACCAGTTGTGGCCCGGCCCTACCCCCAGGGGTCATGATTTGAACAAACTTGAATCTACACTACCTGAGGATTATTCCATATTAGTTTCATCTTTACTGGCCTGGTGGTTCTGGAAAAGAAGATTAAAAAAAATTCATATATATTCCTATGTTAAAATTTTATCGGCCATTGTGGCCACGCCCTACCCCCAGGGGTCATGATTTGAACAAAATTAATTATACACTACATGAGGATGCTTCTACATGAGTTCCTTCTTTTCTTGCCTAGATGGTTCTGGAAAAGAAGATTGTTCCTATATATTCCTATATTAAACTTTGATTAGCTATTGTACGTGGCCCCGCCCTTACCCCGGGGTTCATGCTTTTGATAAAACTTGAATTGACACTACCTGAGGATGCGTCCACATAAGTATCATCTTTCCTGACACAGTTGTTCACGACAAAGACAAGGAAAACGACTAAAACAACGACAGACAACGAACAAATTTTAATCAGAAAAGCTCACTTGAGCTTTCAGCTCAGGTGAGCTAAAAAGGGAAAAAAATTGAACATCATAAAAGGATCACAATATCTTAAATAATTTGGAACTTTATTTATTGCATCATTTGGAACAAAAATAAAAGGCACAGAAATTTATTAAAATCCAGGCATCTGCTTTTTGTTTGTATCATCTTTCCTTAAGCGATACTGTCCGTTGACTTGTTTCAGTAACTTGATTGTCATAACTTAAATAAAAAGTAATTCATACGTAGATGCTCTACGTATGAATAACTTTTTATTTAAGTTTAAGCGCCTGCGTATCGAATCAAGGGAGAGATATTATAACGTACACCGGAGATAACTATATATTGCTGTATTAGTAAAGAAAGGTGACGGTAGAAAACTCCAAGTCATCTCCGCAGCACACTTAAGGTTACAAAAAAGGGGGGGGGGGGCGGAGCTAAATTGGTACGGGAAAACTCAACTATCATGACTATCATATATCAATTCTTAAAAATATCCCGAAATGAGGTGGTTTTCTATCTTTACCTATAGGAAGCCATCAAACTAGATCAACATTTACCACAGTATGCTGTTTTGTCACTAGTTATATCCCACATAACAAGTTATAAACAAGTCACTAATCGCAATCCACTTGTGGACGTTTCGTCATTTCGTAAAACGTAGCGCAGTTTGTATGTATGCGGTGAGAAGCATATCAAGTAAAATTTTCTCACGAAAAGTTTATTCGATAATTAAATAAAATGTCATTTATAGATATTCTATAAGCCATGAACTTTGATTCAATGGATCCTTTATGATTTAATTGATATATTCTCCGAATATTTCGTATTTAATTGATACTGCCGTATATTTGTATGCAAGTATAACGGAGGATAACGTGGGGGTCTTAATAAATCGATCACGTTCAAGGGCATACGCTCAATTAATCAATTCTAGAAGTATTAAGGTATCTGAAAAGTGCTGCAATCCTGATGAATTCCTGAAAATAATTTTATTATTTCAATATTTCATACAGTTGACCAGCACAAAATAAAGCATTCCATCATACAAATATGATTTCAACAATAAAATTGCAGAAACCAGATGGGATCGCAGCACTTTTCAGAGACAACAATGCGTTGTGAAAATATTTATAAACTAAACTTAGAATTTTGACTTGGTAATGCCCTTGCAATAGTGAAATTTATAGATGATCTCAATACTGCAAGTAAATATACAGTACTTATACATGTATCACTTGACTGCTGCATCACGTGACAAGTCTAAATATAAAATCTAATGGTCCAAAATATGTAGTTATTACAATAATTACAATTATATGATATAATAATGTACTAAAAATAATCGCCATCCAGTTTATGAATAGAATACAAAATATTGTCGATGTTTCCATTGCGCACCTTAACTGCCCAGCGTCGTTTTTCATACAGATTTGTTGTAATATTATCAGAAATTATTATCATCAGAAATCGACACTGTATACACTGAATTGACGACGGGTTTTTCCGTTATTTCTGGATTATGACAAGGAGCACACAGGGATGCTCACTCCTCCATGGCACCTGATCCCACCTCTGATGATTTGGAGGTCCACATTTACTCTGTTCCTATTTTGTATTGTATTATGGACTTTTATTACGATTACTGTTTGTTTTCTCCATATCCTTCAATTCAAGAAAAATATCTAAATATGAAACAGATATATAAGTACATTCTATTTTTTATTCTTAGCTCACCGTGATATAACGTATGGACGTAAGAATGGTAACAACCATTGTTAAATTACAATACCTCGTTCATATATTTAATTGTTTAGTTGAAGGCCACATGAAGAGTTTTTTTTTTCGCGTATAAGTTTCAAAAAAAATTCGTCTTTATATGAATTTAAAAAAAAAAGGTTTGCTCATAACGGGGTACAATTTGTACCCATCGGAATTTGAGTAAATTGTTAGAAATTTACTCAAAAAACCGCAAGGATATTGACAATAAGGAACTATAGCATCTTTTTAAATACTTAATAGTGTTTGTTCTAATAAACATGAAATAAAATAAAAATGACTTTGTTACAATATGCAGGTATGATAAGGCTTCCCAGAGAATATTGCAGTGTACTCTGTGCATTCACTTCACCGAACTACAAATGTATGACGTCATAAGTGAAAACGGAATCTTGCTATTGCCAACTTGAGCTGTAATGTTGGGGGTGTGTCATTAACTTAAGGACAGATGATACAAACAATTATTTTCTTTGAAAAAGATTGAATATCATGTCACAAGTTTAGAAAAGTGGATGGCTCTTAAAAAATTTTCTCCGAAGAACTGGAAAATGAAATAGATTTGGAAAATATTAGTAATATTTCAATAAAAAAACGAATATAGAAAAATCACATTCAGTAAAGGTTTACAGGTGAAAATAAATTTCAAAATATGTTATCCTGGCGTTAAAAGTGTAATATAAACCTAAGAAAAATATACCAAGCCAGGTGAATTTTAAGAGGAAGATCGAAATAACAAAAAAATGGCAATATCACATAGGCTGATTTTAACCATTTAGCTTTTCCTAATAAAATTCACCTGGCTCGGTATATTTTTCTTGAGTTTATATTACACTTTTAGCGCCAAGATAACATATTCTGAAATTTATTTTCACCTGTAAACCTTTACTGAATGTGATTTGTCTATATTTGTGTTTTCATTGAAATATTACTAATATTTTCCAAGTCTTTTTCATATTCCAGTTCTTCGGAGAAAAAAATCTAAGAACCATCCGCTTTTCTAAACTTGTGACATGATATTTAATCTTTTTCAAAGAAAAAATTTGTTTGTATCATCTGTCCTTAACACCTTAAGTCAATCTGCATATAAAGAGTTAGAAAGCTAATTTAAAATAAATGTGATTTAATATTTTCATTTTTAATATCTACTATATCTGAATAATGCAGATAGCTTTGCTTTATTACACTGTACTCTGTTTTAAAGTCAGCGTGTTCAAAATACGTAAGAAAATATTTGTTTGCCATTTACCCTTTTTATACCCGTCGATTAAAAGCAGAATTCACCACTTGTGTGCTTTTTGTTAATCTGTAGAGATACCAGGGTAATAGTATAACTTTTCCCAAGCACAAATCGTGTGCACAAGGATGCAAAGAGTTTACTTACGTGATAAAAAGTTAAAGATAATTGTGTTAATCGACTGCACCGATCGGAATTCTTCAAAAAAGTAGAATTGACACTCAAGTGATCAACGAGGTCATGTGATAAGTACCAGTATGTTTGTATATAGCCTTGAGAAATCTCGATATGAATTGGGCGTACTTGGGCGTTACATAAGTTAAACAAAAACAAAATCAAATTTGCAATTCAGTGTCGCACTCTAAATGCATTAAAAGCACCGAAATGCCATAACGTTACTGGGATGTTATAAATTCATCTTTCTTTACATGCAACATTTCTAGTCAAAAAACAGAATTGCTCCCGGATTTTTTCTTAAATGCAGAATTGTTGTAAATGAAAATGAATGCTTTTCTAAGGGGGGACGTGTAATGGATAAAATGTAGATCTTCCATGACTCTCTCTCTCTCTCTCTCTCTCTCTCTCTCTCTCTCTCTCTCTCTCTCTCTCTCTCTCTCTCTATATATATATATATAAGGCGAAAGCGCTACGGTAAAAATAACTGTTCGAGTTTTGTGAGTCTTGATTTTTTCATGGGATATATTTAACTGTATCAAAAACTGGATTTTTCTTTAATTATATATATATATATATATATATATATATATATAAAGCACATTTTGCAACAACTCTTAAACTAACATAACTGCCCTAAGTGAAGAAATATTAATATAGAAATCACAAAGAAATTCACTTTTACATGGATACCCACTTCCGCCCCAGCCCGGGGTTAAACTCTCGACCTTCGGAATCTGTCTCCTAGCAGTGCAGGAACAGCGCGCTAGACCGCTCGGCTATCTAGGCAAGTCAAAAACTTGCTTTCGATGCCAATGGAATTCTCGCGGCGCTGTCCTACACTACACGGTCATTGAGAATGGAATGTGAGATACAGTTATTTGGACATTAGTTTTAACAGAGGATTGTTAACAATACATGTTGTAATGAAATTAAGTATTATTTATAAAGCACATTTTACAACAGTGAATTTCTTTGTGCTTTCTATATTAATATTTCTTCACTTAGGGCAGTTATGTTAGTTTAAGAGTTGTTGTAAAATATGCTTTATAGATAATGCTTAATTTTATTACAACATGTATTGTTAACAATCCTCTGTTAAAACTAATGTCCAAATAACTGTATCTCACTTCCATTCTCAATGACCGTGTAGTGTAGGACAGCGCCGCGAGAATTCCATCGGCATCGAAAGCAAGTTTTTTTGACTTGCCTAGATAGCCGAGCAGTCTAGCGCGCTGTTCATGTACTGCTAGGAGACAGATTCCGAAGGTCAAGAGTTCAACCCCGGGCTGGGGCGGAAGTGGGTATCCATGTAAAAGTGAATTTCTTTGTGCTTTCTATATATATATATATATATATATATATATATATATATATATATATATATATATATATATCACTTTCCTTTCGATTGACAGAAAATATTGCATTAAACAAGACTGCCTGGCAGCTACATCCTTTTTACGCTCGTCCAGATTGGGGAGCCGATAAAGCTGTGGATGGGAAGTTTTCAGACCGGTCTGCTTTAGGAGGACAATGCACTATTTCTTATAGTTATGAAAGAACTGCACTTTGGTGGGTGGATCTTGGAGAAGTGCTTAGTATACACCATCTAACTGTCTTCTACAGGACGGATAATGTTCCATGGGGTACTGTAAAAGTAGTACTAGTTAAAGTTATATATACTAAAAAAAAAAAAACGCATATTCAGATTAAACATTATAATTCGAGTTTTCACTTCAAGCCTTTTATTTTAAAAGAGATTTTAGAGTGTATCGTGATAAGAATCAAACATGTCATATGTTTTAAATTGAAAAGTTAAGATGATGTTATTTTTGTCGCCTCTACATTCTAGTTGCATACTGACATAACCAATGCATATGTCCTTTGCAACGTCTCAGCGCTAGTGGATTTCAAATGTATGGACATCTTGCAAGAATATCAGCTCCTCTTAGACTCTTGCAAACAATTTGTGCACTTTAATGTTGTTTTTCATCATCCCTTTACTGTAGCAGCAGTTTGTTCAGCAGTTATGAATCGAGTGCGCAGGTCCTCCGGTTATCATCATCGTTAGCCCGGTTGCGTTCAGCCTTTGTTAAGGTGTGGCATTGCAGCATCAACATTGCAATTAAATCTGAAATATGGGTTAAATAGGAGTGTTTACTGTTTCTTTATATCCAAAATATCAATATCAATAGACCGCAGATTTACAAAAATCATGTAAAAAATTTAAAAAAAAAATTTTATAAACATGATGAATCAAGGGAAATAATTTAACACTTGGGTTTAAAAAGCCTATGTTGTCCTTTAAATAGGTCACAAGGTATCCAATGATAAAAAAGATAGTTGTTCCATATACTTTCCCAATATTTTTTGATGAGTAAAACAATATGCCTTTCTTTTTTTTTTTTGAGTATAATATACATGTATATCATAAATGTTTTCATTTTTCTTAAACAACTTTTTCTTTGTTTCTCATAGAAGTATATGACTGTGTACCTACTTTGTCAATAAATTCTCCATTTTTTACTTGAGCCAATTAAAAATACTGTTATCTCATAAATAACGTACTGATTAACACAGTAAGGGAGTTCCATACTTAAATTGATCACCCCTGTCAACACGCGATCGGCAACGCTGATGGGATCGGCAACGCCGATAGTTAAATTCAACTATAAGAGGAAGATGTGTTTAAATAAAACATTATTTTGTTCTATTTCCTCGCAATTTTCCGTCAACGTTTCCAACTTTTTAAATGCTACTAGGCATGTTTAACACCATGAAAATCCTCTACGCACTGCAAATCACCATATATTATTTTAAAGTTAAGTTTTACCTAAAACATGACTTCCTTAACATGACACACGAAGCTCGTTTAAGTGATATTTATTTCCTTATTACCTATACCCGACAGTCCAAAAAGCACATTTGCAATTCTAAATATTAGGTAAATCATAAATGTTAAATCCGATTTGAAGTTCTTCATCAAATAGAAAGCGTTAAAATAACGGTTTGAAGCATACACATGCCAAACGGTTTGGCGATCGGCAACGACTCTATAAACGATAGTACAACAAAGAAAATATAAAAACAAGCGATCGTGCAACTTGAACTTATAAAATACTTTTAATGAAATAGAGTAATAGATAGCCACGTGGTATGGGTGGAAAGTCTATCGAAATAGAGCGAGATATCGAGCATTTGATTTTCGAGAGGAAAAGAGTGAATTTGACTGAGGTTCTTGTATATTAGTTAGAAAATGTCCGTTTTTTAAGAGAACAAAATTTAAAACTCCATGGAACCCTAAAATATGATATTATTTTTTAAATCAGATACCTATAGAGTGTTATAGGACCAAATTTTAGCATTATAGAAAAAAAAGTTTTATTGTCTAGGAAATGGCAGTTCAATTACAGGAGTTGGCATATGTATATCAAATACTGATTTTTTTTTTCAGAAAATAAAAAAAATAATAATATCTGTGTCAATACTATAGAAATAATGATTAAAGGAATTTCCATACCTAGCAATTTTACCGAAATGTTCAGTATTTAAACAAAGGATGTGTTGTACACGCACATGTTAATATACATGTATATTTAACATCACTATGTATTAAAGTATGTTTTTTTAATTTACTGATATACATTGTATTATTAGGTAATGCACGTACGTCTGCAGTGTAGAATCTGGGGTAGGGTGGGGTGAAAACTTTACTTTCATAGGCTTCAGCAGCAAATTGAAAGTGGGGGGGGGGGGCTAATTTGAAAGTCTATCGAAATAGAGCGAGATATCGAGCATTTGATTTTCGAGAGGAAAAGAGTGAATTTGACTGAGGTTCTTGTATATTAGTTAGAAAATGTCCGTTTTTTAAGAGAACAAAATTTAAAACTCCATGGAACCCTAAAATATGATATTATTTTTTAAATCAGATACCTATAGAGTGTTATAGGACCAAATTTTAGCATTATAGAAAAAAAAGTTTTATTGTCTAGGAAATGGCAGTTCAATTACAGGAGTTGGCATATGTATATCAAATACTGATTTTTTTTTTCAGAAAATAAAAAAAATAATAATATCTGTGTCAATACTATAGAAATAATGATTAAAGGAATTTCCATACCTAGCAATTTTACCGAAATGTTCAGTATTTAAACAAAGGATGTGTTGTACACGCACATGTTAATATACATGTATATTTAACATCACTATGTATTAAAGTATGTTTTTTTAATTTACTGATATACATTGTATTATTAGGTAATGCACGTACGTCTGCAGTGTAGAATCTGGGGTAGGGTGGGGTGAAAACTTTACTTTCATAGGCTTCAGCAGCAAATTGAAAGTGGGGGGGGGCTAATTTGAAAGTCTATCGAAATAGAGCGAGATATCGAGCATTTGATTTTCGAGAGGAAAAGAGTGAAATCTGGGAGGGGGCTAAACCAGTAGGCTGGTTGTTCCCCTTTTGCAGTATATAGTCAAATCGGGGTAGCAGCTGGTAATTTATGGGTAAAACTTGGGTGTTGAAGAACTTGAATCATAACACCCCCTCCCTCCATCCAACACAACACATTTCCGAAATTGAATTTTGAGTTTAGAAAATGTTCCTTTACTTACACTTTGCATGATAAATCATCTAAGATATATTTAAGGTTGTTTTTTTTTTTTGGGGGGGGGGGGGGGGCTTATGAAATTGAGGTATTTTTTTTCTTTACATTTTTGTTAGCGATCGAACTCTTTTTCACTTGTATCTCTTTAACCTACGTAGCTAATGTCTATTTTTTGCATTAATGTAGAACAGTTTTAAGAGTTAAAAAGGTATATAACAATGACTGATTGCCTAATTGAATGCAAAATATTTATGTATAGCAAAATAAACTTTTTGGCAACAAGTTTCTCTGATTTGTGCTATTCTTATTTCAAGTGTTGTACGATCGCTTCATAAAAGATACATGTCGTTTACGATCGCCTCGCGGTTGTCAAATTTTCCGAATCAAATTTGTTTTACATGTAAGATAATGTAGTTTTAAGGTAAAAATCATTTAGTTCATACTTCCAAGAACCGTTACATAATAAAAGCCGCAAAATTTGGTAGGTAATAGAAACAATAACTTATTTCAAAGCATGGAAATTTGATGTTTAGAACATTGTCGATTTGATCGGTAGCATTTGCACAGAAATTGTGAAACAAAAACACTCTGGGTAAGTCCTTACTGTAGATAATTATCCAATTAAATGCTTTCTAATTTTATTTCAGCTGGTTTCACTCCAGCACATACAAAACTATTTAAATTTACCCCCTACAATACTTTCCTCTTCAAGTTGAGCGTTGTCGATCGTGCGTTGAAAGGGTGTTGATGGCCGTCAAGTTTTAAACAATAGACGAGATATTTTCTTTTGGGAAGATATTCTATCTATAAGGAATAGGTACAGAAATTCAAAACGAATCAAAAAAAAAAACTTTAAGATGTTCTTCAATTTACATCTTGTAAATTGTTGGTTTGAGCAAGCACCTTTTTTTAAATTTAAAACAATAAAGAAGATTCCTAGGTGATGACGAGTTTATGCATTGTTTGTACAATACCACTTTCATTTCCATTCTCTTTTCTCCAGACCACTATAATGGTTACACAGCCAGATTCCTTGGTTTTTCTGTTTACATATCAAACACAACCGACAAAGACGAGGGGGTTCAATGTTTTATGGACACAATTTATACCAGAGACACGATACCAAGTAATATAACAATAGAATGTATAAAACATGGACGATACATCATCTACTACAATGAGAGACTCCCAGGAGTTACCTACCCTGAGGGATATTCCAAGGGCGCACAAAACGAACTTTGTGAATTTGAAGTTTTTGGTAAGAAAACACTATCAACATAATTTATTTAGTATAAATAAGTTTTGTATCCTGGAAACTCTACACTATATATTTCAGAGTATGCAATAAAATAGCTTTCAATCGAAAAAATAGTAACTGAAGAGTTTCTTGTGGAAGAGTTGAGGATACACATCATTATTTCTTCTCATGCAAACAATATTATACAGAACCCAGAAAGGAATATTT